CGTTTTATTCTCTCTGGTCATCCTTGTCCATTATCAGCGAAGGGAAAATTTTAATGGTGACAAGCAAATTCAGTTATCAACTTTAAGTCATGGGTTCTTTAATGAAAAAGCAAAATAAGGAAGCAAACAACTGTGCAGACCCGTCAGGCCTGGCAGCCCCGGTCAGCTCTGCCACCCGACTTCCGCGGCCCAAACTGTGCGGAATCAGAGGGGAGTTATTACGTTATTCACGTGGCTAGTGTATTTTAATATTCTGGACTCCTGGGGACAGTCCTTTTTCCTTTGTTAACGTGGTTTTAAAGTTCGCTTGTTGGGCTCTGTGCCAGTGTTAAGTGATAAATAATAAGTTTTATGTAGTATATTATTATCTAAATCTTCTAGGAACAGAAGAAATATGAAACTGAAGAAGGCGTGAATAAAGCCAACTGGCAGAAGACAGTTAATAATAATCAGCAAAGGTAGGATTTTACGTGTTCTGAAAGCTGTGTCTTTTAGGAACCCGTTAGACTTCACATATACCTTAGTTGTAAAGTGCCATGTTTTGATACACATTTAATGTTCCACGTATGCTCAACCCTTGGGCATCTTGTTTAGTCTCTTTCAGCGTCTCGATTCAAAATCCAAGGATATATCCAAAATAGCTGCAGACATTACGCAGGCAGTGTCTCTCTCACAAGGAATTGAGAGGAAGAAGGTGATCCAGCACATCAGAGGCATGTACAAAGTGGACCTGAGCGCCAGCCGACACTGGCAGGAGCTCGTCCAGCAGCTGACGCATGACCGGTAGGCAGCGAGGGAGGGCAGCGAGGGCTGGAACCTTTTATCTGCCGATGTTACTTTCATCCCAGAATAAAGATTCATGACGTTATCTCCTTAGTTTATTTCTTGTTTGATCATTTGTGATTTCTTTTAGCTTGAAGAATAATCCTATGGGAATATTTTTTTAAATTCTTGGGGGAGAAAAAGTAATGAGAGGGAGAGACATTAGCTCGTTCAGGGACTAAAATCTACATATCGGCTTTAAATGTAAAAGACGATCTTTGCAAAAGAATAATCACTGAAACAGGATAGTTGGGAAATAGACCTTTCTCTAGTTAAGACTTTAATAATGTAGTTAAACAGATGCATCACAAATAATGAAAAGAGAGAAATTAAAGTATTATTCCCTTAATTTGATTAAGGTAACCGATTAGTGTGACTTTGGGGCGCTAAAATGCACTATACATTATACACGGAAGCAAATGCCAGATGAATGAATTAAACTCAAAAAGTTTACAAAGTAGAAGAAAACAGGATGTTTATCAACTCTGGTGGACAGATAATTTTCTAAGATCAAACGTAATAGAAGAAACTACAAAGAGGAAATGAATGGATTTGAACTATGATTTTTTCCAGTGTATTTAACAAGTGTAACAACAAAACGTGAGAATTTATCTTCAGCAAATATTTCAAAGGGTCAGCATTTTTATTGTTTTAAAAATTCGTAAATATTTGAAAGTAAAATATGAAGATCCCAAAAATTTAAATGAGCAAAAGACATGAATATACTCTTTACATAAGACAAATGGAATTGATAAAAAGGTGGGAAAATAGTGAATATTGCTGGAGGTTAATTTAGTTTTTTAAAACCTTTAGATCCCATGTTTTACCTTTTGTGTTACCAAAAAGAAAAGAAGGAAAGAAAATTAGATGCTAATCTCCACAGCGGGAAGAAAGGTGTCTCAGCCGTTGGTCAGAGGTTTGGTGGCATTGTACACTTTGACATTTTATGTCAGGAACCCTACAAACATTTTATTTCTAGTTCCAGTTATCCTATTTTAGTGATTCTGTCCTGAGGAAAATATTCAAAATATGGAAAGGTAGTAAACATAAAGGTTTTCATCTCTGCATTGTTTATGCTAGTGAGTGGATTAGATACCACTTAAATATATAATAATAGTAATAGAGTTAAATACATTATGATGCATCCACTCAGTGTAATGTTAGCCATTTAAAATGGTGACAGTAAAGACTGTACTGTGTTCGGTGAAGGAAGGCAGGGTATAGAAATGTCTATACGTAATAATTATAACTGCAATTTCAAATGACGGAAAATAATCCCTACCAGTATTTTGATATGTTTAGGGAAATTTTTTTCTCTTATCTATTTCTAAATATGTATTTAGTAAGTTCTACTATTTCCTTTCATTTACAATATTACTTTATTTTAAAATATAAGAAATGTGATTAACTGTAAAAATGAACTAATTTTATTTTTTATATCAGATAGTAGGCAAAATGGGAAATTCATTTTTTCTTAAGTTAACCATACTGAATCTGATAAATTGCTAAGCATGTGGTAATCATGCAATATCTTTTTTAAAATTTAATGGACAGCAGAAACTGGGAGCAGAGCCTGCCTCTAGGCAGGGAGCCCGGGACTCCAGAGCAGAAGGAGGCTTATTCTTTATGCTGTCCCTTTGTCCTGTGTGTGTGCAGTTCCTAGTCTCATTGTATAAGTAGTCGGGGTGGGGGTTAATTAACTAGATCATTGATGTATTTATTCAGCTTCTAGAATGATTTTTTAAAGCTGCAAGTACTCCACATTGCCACTAAAAGCATTCTTTTCTTTCCGCTCGCAGAGCCGTCTGGTATGACCCCCTCTACTATCCAACTTCATGGCAGTTGGATCCAACAGAAGGGCCGAATCGGGAGAGGAGGCGTTTACAGAGATGCTACTTAACCATTCCAAATAAGTACCTCCTCAAGGATAGGCAGAAATCCGAAGGTAATTGTGGCTTCTTGACTCCGCACGTAAGTATGGCAGATAACATTGCTCACTTCACAAAGATAAGAATGTCCTTTTTTCCTCAACAGATGTGGTCAAACCACCACTCTCTTACCTATTTGAAGACAAAACTCACTCTTCTTTCTCTTCTACTGTAAAAGACAAAGCTGCAAGTGAGTCTATCAGGTAAATCTGAATCCGTACGACGCCATCTCTTTCTCTGGGTGTCAGAGACTTAAAAGTCTGTTATAGTGCTTATGTGCTGCTGATTTTGGAGCATGCCATGGGTGTAGGAAAGATCGTAAACACAGCTCAAGAGAGGACAAGGTTGAGTGGCCAGAATCCAGAAAGAGCAAACATTTGAAGGGAAGGACTCACCGGACCTCAGTCCTTGTGCTCTAGGCCTCGTTGGCATACATGCATTTTTCAGCTGATGTTTCTAGCCACTCTGTGAAATACACAGTACTGCTGGTGACATCCACAAGGGGCAACCTAGCTGGTGATTAAAGGTTCAAACTCTAGTCCCTCCTCTTCCGAGCTGTCTGCTCTCAGGCAAGTCGCGTAGCCTCTCGGGCTGTTTCCTTGTCCCTTGCACGAGGAAGGTGGTAACGCCCAGTTTCGCGGAGTATTGCCTGGATCAGTATATGGTGACTAGTGGTAGTGTCTTTGTGGTGGTGGAGGTTGTTACCCTGCCCATTTTATAGATGAAAAACTGAGACTCAGAGAAGATAAGTGACTTGACTGAAGAAGAGAGGAACTTTTCTGACTCAGAAGCCCCTCTTTTTCCTGGAACGCTCAGCTTCCTTTCTCTGTTTGGATTATCCAAGGCATGAACCAATGAATGGAAAATATGAAATACTGAAAACGCTTTTAAATAACTGAATCCCTTATTCTGCACAAGGGTCTAGAGGTTGTTCACCTTTTCTAAAAGTGTCTGTCATTTTCTCCTCTATCATAATGTCAAAAACTGAGATACTATTTTCATGTGGATTTTAACAAGACATTTTGTGCTTTTGAAACTCCAGTCTGCTTTGCTGAAATCTTCTGCTAGATAAAATGAAGCTTTTACTCTCTGAAATGGGTCAAAACATTTAATCATATTTTTAAATATGTTTTGACAGAGTGAATCGAAGATGTATCAGCGTTGCCCCATCTAGAGAGACAGCTGGTGAATTGTTACTGGGTAAGCCGCGTTTGGAAGATTTGTACACGTATTCCCCCTGCCTTATTTTATTCTTAGATAATTTGAAGCGTTGTTTGGACACACTGCCATTAAATGAGATAAACTTTCTCTAACATTACATGGACTGTTTCACCTTAACATTGTGTACCTCGCATATGACTCAGGAATGTGAAGAAACGACGGTCTTATTTCCTGAAAAGCACATGAACGGCATTTTAATTTTTATAAAGTTAACTTTCTTCATGAGTATACATCTCCATATTTAATCATCCCTTTTATTATATATCAGTTTTTATTTTTAGGGTAAAGAATTATTGCCATACGTAGATGCCCACTGTTTTAACAGATATTCCTATGCATAAGAAATATATCCACTCTGAGATTGTTCACAATTTATATTCTTTATTATACTTCTGAGAGAAAGGCCAGGGCTGTCGATCCATGGAGAGTACATTTGGTGAGAAACTTTTTCCCCAAGATATGATGAAATAAAGTTATACCACTTGACTTCTGTTCCCTTAAAGAACCAATCCGTGTGCTGTAGGCCTGTTGTTCTCAAAGCGCACTCCCCAGATCAGGAGGGGCCGCCTCCCAAGGGAGCTTCCAAGAAATACGCATTTTTAGCCCCTCCCCAGCCCCTGGAATCTGAAACCCTGTGGCTGGGGCCCAGCAGTCTGCATTTTGATGAACCCTGCAGAGATTCTGCTAACCTTCAAATTTGGGAGTCGCTGCTGTAGGGTAGCTCTGTAGCGTCCAAGGCCTAACATGGAGAGTTCCGAGCTTGCCCGAACCAAGCCCCATAGTCCCAGGATGGAGACGGTGGCTGTCTCTGAGGCAGCCAGGCAGCGCCCTGGGCGACCGGAGGGGACCAGCGCACAGCACAGAGCCCAGGGAAGGGCCTGCTGTTTGGATACGTTAGTAGGGACATGCACTAACCGCAGCCTACGAAGCAGGGAAAATTGGGAGACTGTCTTTTAAGCTCCTGTTCTGCCCTATTGAGTGTTTAAGTCAGCAGAATAATTGAGGGTTCCTCTTTTGCTAGAAAATTTGGTTTACAACTTGACTTCAGCTAATGTGTGACAAAATAAAGCCAAATAATATGCTAGTAATGTAAGAAGAATACTGGTAATAATAAATAGCCAAATTTTTTAGCACTCTGTGCCAGACACTGTTAATAACCACTGTACGTATATTAAATTTAATTCCACAGTAACCTGTGAAATAGAGTCCTCCCCTGCCTCTTCCTGCCCCCTTCTTTTTATAAGGAAACTCAGACACAAAGAGGTTAAGCAGCTTGCCCAAGGTCTTGTGGATGCTCTTCAAAAATACATTAACTGAGTATTAGGAACTGTTTCTGGGCAGTGGGATTCAAATCCAGTCCAGCTAAATCCAACGGCATGCTTTTAACCATATAAGGTAATAGTGCACGTACATTTTTAAACTCACATCCAATTATGTTCTGCAGGTAAATGTGGAATGTATTTTGTGGAAGATAACGCTTCTGATACAGTTGAAAGTTCGGTGAGTAGAGATTACGTTTGCACTTATATAAATCAAGGCAGATTCCCAAAATGCATACATTTAACATGACGAGAGAGCAGGTAGAACTATTAGAGTTCAGCTGTTGTCACACTATGTGTAAATTTGAATTTTTTTTAAGATAATTTTACAAAGAAGACAATGTCATCCCCTCCGGTGGCGGCCTGAGGCCCGTGTCAGCATTATGGGTCAGTTGTAAGGGCTCCTCTCACTTCAGCTCCCATCTGCGTGGTCCTCACTCCCACCCTCAGGAGCCCCAGATAACCACCCCGCCTCCCCCAGCTTCCTGTCAGGCCCATTTGCCTTCAGAAAGAAAGGAAAACAGTGTATCGTTGAATAGCTTCAGTCATCCTGATATTCACGTAGCTTAGTAACCGTGCTTTTATTCTTTTGGCAATACTGGTGTTAATCAGAAAATAACCTAAAAAAGACTCTTAATTAGCTCTTTTTATACAGTAAAGCTTTTTATCCATTTAAATTGGTTTGTATGCCATTAAAATATTGTTTTGAGATCCCTGTAATAGAAAAAATAAGGCTTTTTGTTTCAGAAGTTCTAAAGCCAGGATTTCCTAAGGATACACTTAAATGTGATTATGTATGATTTAATGGTGAGTACATATTTGACTGAAAGAAATTAATGAGTGAAAACATAAAATTTTGTTGTAAAACAAATGATGTAAAAAAATTCATTAAAATACTTAATACAGCCCAAAAAATTGCGTGGGCACTCTTTCCCAATTTACATAGCAATTACTATAGTATTGATCCCAGCAAGTAAAAGTATAGTTATGTTATTTTTCAAGATGTATCTTTTTAGCAGCCATGGAATTCAATAGTTGATACATGAACCAACTTTTTTCTGGATTCAAAGGTGACATTTTCCACCTTGAAAACTCTAAAAATACCCTTGTTTTTTAGTGCACTGAAGGACCCTTTCTCCCCCTGTACTTTTGTAGCATGAATTCTTACTTCTTGTAGGACATTTGCTCTTTTGCATTTTAAATGTGTGTACAAGTACCTCACGCCCCCTCTTTATCACACTTAGGTTTATTTCATGCAGAGCACGTTAGCTGGGCACCTTGCCTATAGACGCTTAATAGATGTACGTTACATTGAATGTATGCTGAGTGTTGAAGCTAAACAGGGAGGAATTCAGTTTTAAGAATGAGAATATTACATTTGCATTAAAATATTTTGTTTTCTTTGTAACATATTTCCTCCCGCTACTTCTAAAAGTTATTTGGGACCCAGTACCATAGTAAAATACGCAGAATTGGCCTAAGTGTCACTCCCTCCTTTCTGCTGTTTTTCAAATTTCTCTTTATCTTTGACTCCTGGATAATTCATTTCCCTTCCTTTCTTGCAAGCTCAGCTATATATTTAGAAGACTGCTTAGTAAAAAAAAAAAAAATCCATCTGGCAAATCTACATACTGTGTGGTTCCAGCTCTGTGACATTCTGGAAAAGGGAAACCTGGTGACAGTAAAAAGAGCAGTGGTTGCCAGCTGGAGCACAAGGGGGTTCGGAGCAGTGGAACCGTTCTGTGCAGAACTGAAATGGTGGGCGCATGTCATTAAACATCTGTCGAAACCCATGAATCCACGGCACAACACCGAGATTCAGCTGTGACTGAAGTTCAGAATACTGTATTCAACGGGGGACTCAGCCGTGTTCACAGTCAGCACACAAGTCCCCACGTTCACAGCACGGGGACTGAGTGTGGAGGGGTCTGCACGGGAACTCCGGGCTCTCTGCTCAGTTTTCTTGCACCTAAGACTTCTCTGGAAAATAGTCTATAAAAAAGTTTAAATGAAACCTAGTAATTAAAATATTTTTCTTAGATTTTATCCAGCATTTTGAAATATTCAGCAGTGGGAGGATTTTCAGAGAATCTTATCTGCCATTTTGCCACAAAAGGAAGACTTTCTGTTGCATTTTGATACTTTTTAAAAATCTAAAATTAAAATGATTATTTATATTTCATGTAAATCAAATACTTCCATGTATTTCCTTTGTCTTTAGAGCCTTCAGGGAGAATTAGAACCAGCATCATTTTCCTGGACATACGAAGAAATTAAAGAAGTTCACAAGCGTTGGTGGCAGTTGAGAGATAATGCTGTGGAAATATTTTTAACAAATGGCAGGACACTCCTGTTAGCATTTGATAACACCAAGGTAACACCTTTATTAATAGATACACTTTTTTGACGTGATCATAGGATTGATGTAGCTATAGTCATACTGATTAAATGAAGTTTTAACTTATTTAAACTTTAACTCACTGTTTCTGAAATCAAATAAAAATTGCTTTGTTTCTTAGTCCTGATTAAAGTAAACCCTTGGTTATATTAAAATTAGTTTTGTCCTCCAAAAGCATATTAAATTCTATTCCCCAAAGTGACTGCGTCTAAAAAAGCAAATGAACGAATGTATAACCAACCTGAAAGTGGTTTCAACTTGTAGATTCCATGTTTGACAAACCCTTCCTTGGCCACCTTGTCCCTTCTGCTACTGTTTGCCTGCCGTCCTTCACAGAAGACCTCCTGGGAGAAATTGTGTGCCCGCGGCCTGCAGATCCTCCCCTCGATGCTCCTGTGAGAGGCTCGTCACCCTCCCCCGTGACCTCTGCCCGGCACCCCCGGTCACCTCCATGTTGCTCGGCCTGTGGTCTGTTTGCTAGTCTCCGTCTTACTTGACACAGCTGGTTACTCTCCCTTTCCTCACAGAGAGGGAAAGAGGAAGCCAGAGCCCCTCCTCCCTGGGCCTCTGGGTTCCCCCCAGCTCTCCCTCGGCCTCACCCGCCGTGCCTTCCCCGTCTTGTTTGCAGATGCCTCCTCTGAGCGTCTCAGGGCTCCTCCTCCTCACCTCTTCTCGTCTCATCCCATCTGGTGACTTTAAGTACTGTCTGTATTATAACAACTGATGAATTTGTATCACTACCCAAACCTCTCCCCTGGATGCCACACTCAGATATTTAAGTTACTCCTTGGCATCTCCACTTGGAAGTCTCACTGGCAACTCAGATTTAACATGTGCGGAACTGAACTCCTAATCTTCCCCCCAAAAGCTCTCTGCAGCTTCCCCATCTCAGTAAGTAGCAGCTCCAGTCTCCCTGATGTCCCGGCCCAAACCCTTGGGACTATCCCCGCTCCCCTTGTTCCTCCCTCCCCCACATCTGCTCGTTAGCGAGTTCTGTGGGCTCTCCCCCGACAGTGAACATCCAGAACCTGATGGCTTCCCTGCTGCCGTCTTGCTCTCACCATGGTCCCCCTGCGCACATATCATTATACTAGACTCTGCCTGCTTCCGTAGCCCTCCTGTTTGAGACTATTCTAAACGCAGCGGCTAAGGTCAGATCGTGCCATTCCTCTGCCCAGAGCCCTCCGCCCACTCTCTGTGTCACTCCGTTAGAGCCTGGTTCTTGCAGTGTTGAGTAACCTGGCACTTCCTTGCCCCTCTGACCTTACCTTCTCCCACCCCACTCCTCACTCCCGTCCTGCCCCTCCACCTCCTCCATCCATGGAGACACCAGTGCCTCCGATCCTTTGCGCTCGCTGCTCCCTGGAATGCTTTTCCTCCTAGAAATCTACATGGTTCACTGCCTTACTTTTTTCAGGTTTCCGGATCAAATGCCTTCATATCAGAGAGACTCCCCTGATTACTGTAAATAAAATAGCAACCCCCCTCACTCCCACCCCCAAACATCCCTCGTCGCTTTCACTCTGATCTATTTTTCTCTGCAGTGCTTGTCTCCCCAATGGAAGGTAAGCTTTGTTTTGTTGAGAGCTGTAGCTTTAGCACCTTGAACATACGAGGATACAGGTGCTCACTAAATACTTGTTGAATGACTAAATGTTTCCTTCTCTTGCTGAGCGTAGTGTGTAGACTGTCCTAAATTCTCTTCATCAGCCTTACCTTCCGTACTCGTCACCCTTCAGATCTAGACTGCAGATTGGGGGTGGGGGGTACTTTTTTGCCTTGAACAGATTCTTTTTTTTCAATTGTGGTAAAAGATACATAACATGAAGTCAGCATCTTAACTACGTCCAAGCATACAGGGCAGTCGTGCTGAGCACACTCTCGCCGTGGAGACGCAGACCCCCAGGTTGGGCTCTCCACGCCTGCGACCTTGCCCGTGGCTCCTTCTTGTCATTCGCCTCTCGTCGGGCTCTGACGCCCCACCTCCCTGGCTCCTCCTCCTGTGCCTGGAGCACCCACAGTTTAAGAGGAGTGCTTCAGGTTTGTATTTAGCAGGGGTCTGGTTCGTGTGTTTTTCCCGTGTGTTACCAGTTACCGTTCATCGCTGTAGCAGAAACCAGAATACTGTGCCCTTTTTTGTGATAGAACGTTGTGTGGCTCTTAAAAAAAAAGTTTCATATGTTAGTTTTCAATCAGTAGTGAAAATCAAGTGTTGTGTTTTACATAGGGTGTTTTATTTCATTCTTGTGAAATAAGTATGATGGCCCCTGTATTAGAGATATAGTAACTGCAGCCTAAAGGATTTAAGCAAGAAAAAAGCCCAGGTCTGCCTAATTAGAAAACCGTGCTCTTTCTACTACATCACGTTGCATTTATTTAGATGAAGACTCTTGTTCCTTTATTGATTTTTTTCCCTTGGGGTCTGTATATACGTGACTTTTCCATGTATACTTCTTAGTTTATGAACTGATTTCTCCAGCAGCAGAACACTGTGGTTAATAACAAGCCACGAATGAATGAGTGAATATAACAAAACAGAAGCAGACTCACAGATACAGAGAACAAACTAGTGGTACCGGTTGGGGGGGGAGGGGAGGGGCAAGAGGAGGGTTGGGAACTGACAGGTCCCAACTACTGTGTGTGAAATAAATATCCATTACGAGGGTATACTGGGCAGCACAGGAAATACAGCCAATATCTTATAACACCTTTAAATGGCATGTAATGTATATATTGAATCATTATGTTGTACACCTAAAACTAACGTTAAACTGTAAATCAGCTGTTCTTCAGTAACTAGAGAAATAGCCCAACCTTTGGAGGAAAACCTGGATTTGAATCTCGGTTCTTCGCACGTTAATGTTGTTGGGAAAGTATTTTCCTGGAAGGCTTGGGATTAGTGACACGCCGACAGCATCCCAGGGTCCTTTGTAGGAACGTGCCAATGAGCCCCAAAGTAAAATCTGCTTTTTTCCCTCTCTTTCTCTCGGAGGTCCGTGATGATGTGTACCACAGCATTCTAACAAACCACCTCCCTAACCTTCTGGAATACGGCAACATCACGGCTCTGACAAATTTGTGGTATGCTGGACAAATTACTAACTTCGAATACTTGACTCACTTGAACAAGCATGCCGGCCGGTCCTTCAACGACCTCATGCAGTACCCAGTGTTCCCGTTCATCCTGGCCGACTACGTCAGTGAGACCCTTGATCTCGGCGACCCCGCCGTCTACAGGTGAGTGAGGGCGTCAGCCCCTTTTGGCTGTGTCAGTATGCCATATTTATTTCACTAAAGTTCTTGTTGTGAGAATTTTCAAACATACACAAACATGGAATGAATATATAATAAACCCCTGTATGTCCCTCACCCCAACTCAATTATGAAGACCTTTGCCAAACTTGCATCTTTTTTTTTCTTCTTAAGACAGATCACACGTATCTTCTATGTCACTCGTGTGTTCTTTAGTACACATCTCTTAAGAAAAAAATTGAACATTCTCTTGTCTAACCTCAGTGCCATTGTCATTGCTGATAACAGTGCCTGGCCCTGCAAATGAAGATTTAGCCAGCAGGACAGTCCTCATGTTATTTTTTAAAGTAGCCAAAATTTAGAGACAACCTAAATGCCCAGCACTAGGTTTGAGTAAATTGTTCCCTGTTGCCGCCATTAAAAATGTTGTTGTAGAAATGTATATTTGGGGGCAAAAGATGTTCTTTTTATTTAAAAAGTGAATATGCACACACAGATAAGGGGAAGACGCCCGCAAAGGCATATGCCCTTCCAGACACACTGTGAGTATTAGAAGCAGTTTTATGGTTGGCTTTTGGTTTTTCGCTCATCAGTAATTTCTGATTTTCTAACCACAATAAGGATTATTTATGTTAAAAAAAAACACTATTTACACTCTTTAGAAAAAAAATTGCGTGCCACAATCTGCAACGTGATTTCTCCGATTTTGAGATGTGAATTTGTATCTATTCTGAAAAGCTATCTTTACTTTTTAACAAAGCGTTTAGGATTATAAAAGTCTCAAAAATGAAATTAATGTGTTTGCTATTGCTAATTTTAATATCCCGAGGCAGTGATTTTCCCCCCAGATAGATAGATCAGCATCCAACTAAACAGACCTGGTTTCACTTGCTGAAGTCTGAGCAAATCTTGATGTTGATCTGGGTACGGTGCCAGCTGTTGACACTGCAGGGGCTGCATCCTGGTGCGGCCCAGATGGCGCCTCGGCCAGGGAAGCCTGCGTCCCTCACTGAATCTTGTTCTGTCGCTTCTTCCGGGCCCCAGGGAGCTGCTGCTTGACTCTGTAGCCTGTAAAAGCAGGGCCTCCTCCTCGAACTCTCGGCACAGCGTTGCCCCTCGCTGTCCGCAAGTTAGTTCAGTGCTCAGGCTCCAGAGCTCAGCGTGGTCATTTGAAGCCTATGTTGTTTCTTCAGTTTTCCCTGAAAACCTGATAATTCCGTAACATTTCCTCATGATCGTATTTCCTGTCCAGACTGCCCTTCACTTTCACTGCCTTACTGGTGTGGAGTCTGGAGGTGGGGACAGGAACCTGGGGCCTGGTGGGAATCAGCTGCCAAGCGCAGCAGCAGTTAGGATTTGGAGCGAGCGGAGGGGCCAGCAAGGGGAGGGAGAGCGGCAGCTCTGGGCTGGGTTACTCCTGAGTCCGGAGTCCCAACACCCAACTGCGTCTGCCCGAACAGTTACGAAAGCGTCATTGTGAGCGGCGACTTGTCAGTTGCAGAGCAGCATGTGTAAGCACTGTGCTGTTGGCCAATGGCTCTCTTATTTGCCTGCAAGCATCTGGGCACCTATTCCTGACAGTGCCAACATGCATCCTGTGCTTTCCATCGTCTCTTCCTCTGTAGAAACCTCTCCAAGCCCATCGCGGTGCAGTACAAAGAAAAGGAAGACCGGTACGTGGACACTTACAGGGTAGGTTTAGTTTTGCCTCATGTATTTTGATAAAGGGAAACGATTTTTGCTTTACAGGCTTATGTTTTACCAAACTTTAAATTTATAAGGTTGATTTTTCTGTTTCTCACTTCCTTGTGCTTTGGTTGACAGGCAACTGGAAATCATTAGATGATTTTAAGTATTAATCTGTCTTAATTCTCTGAAGACATTTTGCCCAGGAAAAAAAATATACTTGTTGTTGCATAAGTTGGAAGCTAATAGTCCATTGTTATGCTGAAATATATAAATAATTGCATTCCTTATAAAAATCATGAAGATTTTCAGGGACTCACTCTTTGTATCCCCTAGTGTTATATGTAATAGCGTCAGTACGTTCATAATGTACCATAATCCCTTATTCATATTCAGCAGGTTATGCTTTGGTTTATTAATAAAAATACCAAATTTTAAAGTTTAAAAATAGAAAATAATTGTCCATTTCTGTGAAATTAGTATTAATGGAATCCTGTTGGAAATTCAGGAGGTCTCGTTAGCCGTAGGCTGTGTTCTTCACAACAGTATCAGGACTGGGCAGCTGAAGCAGTGTCCCCCTATTCCGTACGTTGTCTTACGTCAGAATTCCAGAAAGATCCCTCCAGGCATCTTATGTGACAGTTGTGTCACTACTCGATTCTTCTGCAGCTGAGAATGAGACAGTGTCGTGGGAGTCAAGAAGTGACTCCAGAAAATTCACTGTCACCTGACTTTGTTATTAGGGACAGAAGCTGTGGGAGGCGAGGATGGTGCCAGACATTCAAAGTTTGCTTGCGCTTCCTTCTTTATGATGGGAGATGGGAGTAGTTGGAAATGCCTGAAGTATGTGTTACGTCTGTGTAACTCCACTGCAGAACAGCCGTAAAGAGTTCTGTTAAAGAATTCCAGTAGTGTAATACCGTTTTTCTATTTCTGTGGCGTTCCCACTGCTAGAGAAGCGCTTCTCTAAAGAATGTAGCTTTACCACTTGAACCTTCTTAAAATGCAGCAGCCCCGGTGAGAGGGGCAGCCCTCACGTGCTGAGTGCTCAGTCCACTCAGACTTTGTGCCCATTGGCTGGGAGCCAGGGTGATGGAGGTGGGTGCAGAACAGGTGGGTTTTCTCAGAGGGAAGGAGAGGGTCAAAGTGCAGGCTTGGGGGAGGCTTCTTGAGCGCCCAGGCCTCAGCAGGGCACCGTGGAGGAGCCTCCAGGCCCTCAGGGTGGCCGAGGTCCAGACAGGGGGTGGGGGGCAAGCCGTGGAGAACAGGTCTAAGGGACCACAGAGAGGACGGGCGAGCTTCCACGCCCCGCCAGCGCTCAGCGCCGTGACTTCTGACCCCTTCAGTACCTGGAGGAGGAGTACCGCAAAGGGGCCCGCGAGGACGACCCGATGCCCCCGGTACAGCCCTACCACTACGGCTCCCACTACTCCAACAGCGGCACGGTGCTGCACTTCCTGGTCAGGATGCCTCCCTTCACCAAGATGTTCCTGGCCTACCAAGGTAAGCCGTCCCCAAAGTCAGCTTTGTCGTGGGGAAGGCGGGGAAGCACTTGACAGGCAGCCTGAGCGTGTGTTGAGACTAATCAAACCATGAGAGAAAGAATTCCACTTACTCCTTCCACGGAATTCTCTCCAGGAAACCTGCAGGAAGCCAAACCACCTCACCCCGTCTCAGACTTTAGCTTCAAATTAAACATGTCTGAGTTTTTAAAATGCAGTTCACATTTTAAAAATTAAGAGGTAATTCCCATAGTATAACATTTACCCCTTTTACCCCTTTAAAGTGTCTGCAGTTCACTTTTTTAACGTGTTCAACTGAATAATCATTTCAGATCACCTAAGTGCTCTTTGGACCCTAATGGGGAATAGGTTGTTGTAAGTCAGAACGTGTAACTGGTTACAGGAGAGTCACGCTGCCCCCTGCACCTCAGGGACTTCCCGGTTGATAATCTTCTACCTCGGCATGTTCGGGGACAGCCTGCAGGCCTGCAGATGACTTAGGCAGAGGGGAATCCTTGTACACACAGGGACACACCTACTTAGCGGTGTCTAACGAGGGCCGTGGCAGTAGCCCTGTGGCTGTTCCTCTGGGCGCTCGGAATCCTCTGTGGAAACGTCATCCATTCATTTCCCCGACCCTTCTTGAATGTCTTTCTGTGTTTATGCTCACATGCAACCTCTTGGAGGAATGAGTTTTGTGTCTGTACACCACTTGGTCTGTAAGAGGGGCTTTCCTAGATCTGCCCCTGTCTGAGTGCACAGAGCACAGGGTCCACGTGACAGCTGCACTGGGAGGTTGCTGCCCTGCCCCTCCCTCCTCTCTCTCCTGTTTACTGCCAGGCTGCTTGTCCTCAGCTCTTAGGACGTTGGGTTGAGAGCCCCCTATGTGCAAGGCCTCCTCCAGCTGCTGCACGGAGCACACAAGGAGGGAGACAGTTCTGGTCCTGGGGAAGAGCTTCGAAACTCACAGCTGAGCCGGGCTTGCTCTGCTTCGCAGGCCTGGCGCTGTGCTCATCTTTCTGGACGTGATTTGCGAATGCCCTTATTAAAAAGTGGCCATAGGAATAAAAAAGAATATACCCGACGTGGTTTGGGGCAACTGCAGTGGATAAGAGAACCGTTACTGCCCTCATTTCTTTTAATGTAGCCCATGAACCTGTTAATGTAAAACTCCCAATCAACCATTATGCTGGGTTTTCTTCATCGTGTGTTAAAGAATGATTTTAAAACAAAACAGCAATGACCTCAGTCCCCATTCGCTTTCTTCTGATTGGTTTAAAATGACTTTGTTGGCTTTTGAATTTACTTCTAGGCTTCTGGCTTAGCCTAGCCTTCTCAGCTTGGCGCCGTAGTCGCTTTGAGCCCCTAGTTCTTTGTTCCGGGGACTGACCTGTGCTTTGTAGGGCGATTTGCAGCGTCCCTGGCCTCTCGCTGCCAGAAGCCAGTGGCATCCCCCACCCGCCCAGCTGTGAGAGCCAAGAATGTCTCCTGGCATTGCCCGAAGTCCCCTGGGGGGCAGAAGTGCTGGGGTAGCGACTGCTAGTTGAATATATACATGTTCTAGATTATAGGAGTCTGCAGTATTGCTTTTTTTTAAATTAAGAAACGGCAGGGAGTTTTAAAATCTGGACGGCACCCTCAGTGTGCTCGTCTCGTTCCACGGCCCTGTGCTCTCGGAGCTGGGGCCTGTGGCTCCACAGTCTTACACGGGTGCACTTATTTTCCTTGATTCTACTTAGATCAATAACTTCTCCTCCTGAATGCGTTAGTAAACATTTCTTTAAGTGGCCCTCCCTACTTTCTGAGGGAAAAAAGACGTATTTATAAACCCCATTTCTTCCCAGATGTTATTCAGTGGCCAGCCAGTGCTAACGAACTGAACAGAAGGGATGAGAAGGTAATAAAAGTGATAGAGAGCATCGCTCCGCAAAGCAGGTCAGGCTGGGGGCAGATTTAGTGTCTCTTTTAAAACTGAGCCTGGCTTGATGCTGAAATTAGTCTTTGACAGCCTCCCAATGAAAAGATGTGTTCCAATTCCAGCAAGTTCAAAGGAGTTTTAGCTGCTGCATCACAGTTCCTGAGAGGCGTCTACACTGCTGGTGTTTTCAAGGGCGGGCCTGTGGAGATCATTTAGCATTCTAGGCTAGAAAGTCTGCGTAACTGTTGACAGGAAAGACAGGCTCAAAACTCAGTTCTTGATTAATCTGCACCATTTATGTGAAATTTTACTTAATTTTTTGGCATAGAGTTAGAACATCTAAAAAGCAGTGCCCCCCAACCCCGACAGAAGAAAAAAGGGAAAGGAAAAGCGAGAGGAAGAGTAGTCTTACTGGTCAGAGGGGAGAACCGTTTTACCTGTTTCAGCTATGGTTGTCCTGCCCTATTCATTTGTTTATTCAGTGAACAAACCATTGCCCAGTCCCTCGGGTGTGCTGGGTACGGCTGCTATCCCAGGGTTCTGCTTCTGTGGAACTTCCATTCTACTTGGGCAGCCTGATCATAATCAGACAAACAATATAAATGTATCTAGTCACTTGCACTGTGAAAGCATAATACAGATTAAAAATAATATAACGCAGTCCCCAATAGATACAGAAATATTCATTTTCAAGAACGTGAACAAACTTTTAAACTATGGACAAACAAAAGGAACATTATTTTAATCTTTTTGAAATAGTCAAAGTAAATTAACAGGTTTCACATGGAATCACGTCTTTGTATCTTAATTGTGAATTTGTGTTTCTTTTTAGATCAGAGTTTTGACATCCCAGACAGAACTTTTCATTCTACAAATACAACGTGGCGTCTGTCATCTTTTGAGTCCATGACTGATGTGAAGGAACTTATCCCAGAGTTCTTCTATCTTCCAGAATTCTTAGTTAACCGTGAAGGTATAAGAATAAATCATTTCTAATTTATATTTCTGAGAGTTTGTACGTATTTTATAATTTTCCAAAAAGAAAAATAGCTTTGGTGAATCCTAAACTTTTGAGTCCCCAGGGAAGAGAAATACCTTTACTTATTAAACATATAGTTTTATTTCCAAGTGAGCTTGAGGATTTTCAGTCTTTCATTGGACTAGGTATATTTGAAAAACTGTAACTTATAACTATTCAAAGTATTTGCAAACACATATTTTAATTTTGTTACAGAAATAACTTAATTACTTTTTCTGACTACAAAAGTGATAATATGTTGATTATAAAAAAAGAATCATGAATTTATTAAAGCACAATATAAATTAACCAAAATCTTAATGATATTATGAGGAATGACCAAGTTAGAAATAAAACACTCTAACCAGAATTATCTAACAATGGTAAGGGATACCTGGAGATAAAATCACCTTTTCTGTGATGCCAGTGACCAGCAAGCTTGGCCAGTCTTGCTTGCTCTTCAACGTGAGATCAGTTAACCCTTTGAGAGGTTACCTTTGGGTCGTTTTCCTACATTACCGATCTCATATTTTTATGGGACCTTGAGGAGTATATGTATTGAGAATTCTATCTTTAGGGAAGTTAGCGTTGGGCAACTTACTTTAGAATTTTTTCTGCTTTAACTGGCCTCTCAAGTTACTGGGCACATCGTTGATAAATTCATGCTGCAGTTTACCCGGAGCAGGCGCTGTCGTGTTGCCCGAGTGAGAAATGCCTCAGTGAAACGTCAGCACCTGCAGTTTGGGGTCCCTGCCTCGTGGCTGTCATCCTGGGACTCATTTGAATCTACCGCTTGCTCTTTGTCCAAGTGTCTTATGTGTATGTTCCAGTTATCCACAGCTGCATGACAAATAACCCCAATACTGAGTGACTCCAAACAACGTTAAATGTATTCTCCATCGGAGTTTTTCAGGTCAGAAATTGAGAAACAGCTCAGCCAGGTGGTCTCTGTGGTTGGCGCAGGGTCTGTCATGCAGTTGCATTCAGACTGGCTGCAGCTGGAACAGCTGGAGCAGAGCCACTGGGGCTGGTGACATCTCTCTTCGTGTGGTGTCCGTGGTTTCCCACGTGGCTTCTCCACACGGACGAGTTCAGAGTTCCTCATAGCATGGCCACCTCAGACATCCTACCTGGTGACTCGGGGTCCCAGGGAGAGGAGCAGAAGCTGCATGGCCTTTTCCAGCCAGGCCTTGGAGGTCACACACTGGCACTTCGGCTGCATTCTGTTCGTACCGGAGCCACAGTGCCTGTCCACATTCGAAAGGAAAAGGCATGGGTGTTGCCATTTGATAGGGGGTAGCAAAATTCTAGAAAAGTGCGTAAGACAGCAAGTGTTGTTATAACTGTTTCTGGAGAAGGTAACTTGCTACATGTCATGTCATTTCCAGTCAGCATTCCCACAGGATGCTCTCAGTAAACCTCCGGTCAGCTGCTCTGGGTGAAGAGGGCCCACCTCTGCGATGTGTCCCCAGAGCACCTGGAAGCTGGGAATGATTTGAGTTCACGGAGACCCCTGCCGCTCAGCCCCTCCCCGCTCAGCTCTTAGATGCCTCATCACCACTGTTCAGTCAGTCTGCCTCTGCTGCCTCCCCTGGAGCTGCCCCCAGCGGGTGCATCCTAACCGTCAGCCCCTGCCGCTGTCGGTCCCATGACTGCAGGGCTCGCCAAGATGACCCTCACCCCTACCCCCTGCTAAGCTGACGTGACCCCTTGGTGTATATTTTACCTCATACCATTTCAGAGTGCTTCCAGTATTAGTGAAGCTCCTTCTGTTTCCACAAGATCAAGAAGGAGGCAGACAGCAACTTAATTTTATGTGAAGCAGAATCAGCTTGTAAAGAGGTCCTTTCAAATTTGTATTGTTACGGTGTTTGGATTTTCTGTCCATAAAAGGTAGCCCCTCCCAAAAAAAAAATCTCTGTCCAAAGGTAATGTTTCCTTTAGAACAATTCTTTTAAGGAAACACTTCCGAGACTTTCACATACACTAGCAGACTAATGAGACAATTGGATACCACCTTATGTACATCTCAGAAGATTCTCTAATTCAGGATGCTAGGATAATTTTGTTGTCCACCAAGCATTCCTTGGTGGAAATGAATCAGAACAGACCTATAGATTTACCATAAAATTAATAGACTTAAGACAGTTCATTCTAGGAATGTGTGTACCTTGTATTCACTGGGTGTTTTAAACTACTGAATGCTAATATTTACTATATATAAATAATCTTAAATTTATTATAATGTTAACACCAGTAATTCAGAAATGCTTATACAAAAGCCTTCGCTTTATTTTAATCAAGTTTACAATTGAATAGATATTTACACACTTAATGCATTTGAGGATTTGATAAACTGGATTTGGAATTAGCAGGCAGTGATTTTCTGCTTTTTTTCCCAATATGATATAAAGTGTTGGAAGAATGAAGCGGGAAGGTCTCAGGCTCGTTAGGGCAGCACTAATGCACATAGTGATGAGAGACGGCGTCACTGTCCTCGCCGCTCCCTCTCCTGGTGACAGCCCACAGCAGCCGTTTCTGTGAACTCTTAGGATCTGCTCCGTAGGCCAGATGAAGCATGCTCTGGGGGAGACAAACATTAGTGTCAATCTTGTGTTTCAGGGTTTGATTTCGGTGTGCGTCAGAATGGCGAACGGGTTAATCACGTTAACCTCCCACCCTGGGCACGTAACGACCCTCGCCTCTTCATCCTCATCCACCGCCAGGCTCTGGAGTCCGACTACGTGTCCCAGAACATCTGCCAGTGGATCGACCTGGTGTTCGGGTATAAGCAGAAAGGGAAGGCCTCTGTCCAAGCCATCAATGTTTTCCATCCTGCTGTAAGTGACTGTCTTTAAAATCCGCGTTCATAGAAGGTAGAACCTGGGCAGTTAAAGACTGGACTGTTTCTTTGCAACACCCAGTTACCAAGGAGAGTTGGCAGAGACCCTAAATGTGGCAAGATTTTCAGGTTGGGTGTTCCACCTCTTTGAGAATAACTGAGGTACTATCTGTTGGGGGTCCCCTGGGGCCTCCCGCAGGTTGGATGAGGACGAAGGACTCGGCATGTAGCTGTACAGCTAAGGCTTATTACAGGGGAGGGTACAAAGCAGAACCAGCAAAAGGACAGGACGCAGGGGCGAAGCTGGAGGAGACCAGGCACACGCTTCCAGGAAGCCACCCCTCCCAGTGCCTCCCGCAGAACTCGCTCCCTCCCTCCAGCAGCAAACTGTGACTGCGTGTGCGATGCCGCCCAGCAGGGAAGCTCACCAGGGGTGCGGTGCCAGGGCTCTCCTGAGGGCGGGTCACGTGGGCGCCCTCGGACTCGCAGGTAGTGAGACTCCCAGAAGAAAAGCAGGTGCTCAGTGTAAAACACACTCTTTGTGCAATGGATTTGGGCGCAGTGGGCCCCTCTTATCAGTTACAGAATGTTGGGGACGCTTCTGAAATCCATGTTCCCAGGCACCAGCCCAGGGCCCACCCTGCAGGAAAGGCCTTTCCAGGGAGGGCAGGTCAGGCCCGCCACGGTAACTCTTTTCTGCACATTATCCCGTATACGTGTTCTGTGTTTAAATGGCACCATTTTTCCTTATTGCACAAACAGTCTTTGTGCCTGGTTAGGAAAATGTACATGCTACAGACTACCAAAGGAAGGAACTGAAAACCAACTGTGATGTCTGTCTGGAGACAGACATCAGAACCGCCTTCTAGACTTTTTTCTGCACAAACGTATCATTCCGCTTGTGTAATAATATTAATACCGCTTGTTATTCCAGGTATGGCTAGCCAGTCATTTATTTAATCAATCCCCTGTTGTTGGATATTTAGTTAGTATTTGCTTGCTACTAAACTTAACACTCCTCAGGTTACTTCTTTACGTACGTCTTTACTTCTTTAAGGTAAATTCCTCAGGGTAGAATTGTTATACTTTAACATACATTTTTTAATGTTGTTAGATCGTCTACCTTTAAATATATATATATCTATTCAGGAAACATTTGTTTTGCTAGGCTCTGGGGATGCAAAGATAAATAAGATTCACATAGAGAGGGATGATCTGCAGATGGCCAGTAAGGAAGTGAAAAGGGTGTGACATCTTTAGTCATCAAGGGAATGCGGTTTAAAACCACGATGAGCTGCCACTTCGTACCCTTGAGAATGACTCAGAGTAAAAAGACTGACAATCTGGGGGCTGGGCAAGTGGACAACTCAGCGGCAGGAAGGAATGGACCGTACACAGATGTGGCAACAGGGGTGATTCCCCAGAGCATTTTATACTGAGAGAAAGAGGCCTTACTTAAGGGTAGACTGTGTACGAATCCACTCCATTTACATGGAATGCAAAAGCAGGGAAAAGTAGTCTTAGTGAGAGAGCCAGAACAGCAGTGCCTCTGAGGAGCAGGGCGTGCACCGCAGGAGGGCACCAGGGCGCTTCCTGGTGATGCGGATGTTGTGTCTTGATTTGCGTGATGGTTGCATTGGATTGTTCTTTAAAAATTTGTAGTATTTTACTGTATGCAAAATATACCTCTTTTTTAAAAAGTGTAGGGTTTTTTTTTTTCAAGTTTTAAAGACAAAAAAAAGATTCAAATAGAGAGTCAGGCTAGAAGGAAGGTTAGCGTAGTTCAGCCTGCCTTGATGTGGGAGTGGGGTCCAAGTGAGGCCTCTGGAAGGAAGTTCCTCAAGGAATGAGAGGTAAAAAGACAAATTTTGAGGAGGAACCTATTTCCTAGTGTTCTGCCCAGATGCTACTCAAAGAGAACTAGAGATGAACCACTAATCCGCTGCATAAGACACACAGCCTCTTTGTGTTCCTGACTTTAAAATTAGGAGGCGGAGTTAGATTGATCGCGGACTTGCCCTCTGGCTGTGACTTTCTGTGTAGATGCATGGAGTGTTTGCAGCAAACACAGCTAAGTGCATGCATAGATCCTCCAGTAACACACTCTGTATCTGGGCTTATTAAGCCAGAGGTCCATTCCTGAATGGTAGTTGAAATAAAAATCTCTTCAGTCCATTTTGCTCGGTAATTGTTTTAAGTGCATCTAAGGTAATAGAAAATTAAATTTCTTAAGAGGCTCACAGTCTGGAAGAGACTCTGACAGATGCACTGGTGACTCTGGTGGGCCTTGAATGCCCTGGCCCAGTGGTTGAAAAGGGCGTCGTACAGTTGGATTGGGGGCTGATAATTGTCCACAGAAGCGAGTATAAAGCAAAGGCGGGGCCGCAGGGCTGATTTGTGAACTTCATTCATACTTGATCTAAAAGATAACTTTGAAAGCAACTAGGGATTTGGACATTAACCTCGATATACCCTGTGCCTGTAATCCTGGCACATCTTTTCAATTATTCTTACTTAAAATTCACATTAAAAGTACCTGCGTGTAGCAATATATGACATAATTCTCATCCTACTGGAATTTTTTCACTAATTCTTTGGGACTTTAGAACTTTAAAAAGGATAGAGTTCTAGAAATTTAATAAAACTCAATTCATGGGGCAAAACAAAGTGTAGCTTCATCAGTGCACAGTCTCTGAATTCAGAATTGAATTCGAATCCTTCCTCTGTGACTTTGCCACTTGCTGTGTGACTTGGTGTGACCTTAGCCTCTCTGTACCTAAATGTCAGATGTATAACATGTGAACAATAACACCAGCCTCACAAGTAGGGACTAAAGTTCATACAGAGTGATGCCTGCCGTACAGTTACGTATACATAAATGTTAACTTTGTAAAAAGGAATGTAAAAATGCCTTTTGATCTTAAGTCAACATTCACCAATATATGGGGTCCACTAGAAACTGATACCACAGAATGGAAAGAAGGACTGTTTTAAAATAAATTTGAATGAGTTCCGGCCGTAGGGCTCTTCCAGTCTTCATGTGAACTTTCAAGTGTATGAGATCAAGCAACCGCTAAGCAGGACCCTGCTCAGATGAGCGTGGTAACAGGGGTCTGAGTCCTCGTGGTGCTGGTGGTGACGGTGGTGATAGTGATGAGGGGAGTGAGTGTGGAAGACTGTTTAACATCTGAGAATCTGTGAAACTCGACTTTGGCATTTATAGAGATGTCACGTGTAGATGCATACGTGAAATTTGCTATGACGTTACATGATAATGCTGAATTGTACAGGGGACGCACACAGCAGGACAGATCTCTACCCAGCTACTGTCTGTGAGCTTTAAAAACAAAAACGTAAGTGCACGTCACTCTCATCTGACTCTGAGGAACGATGACACTAAGGAGAGAAGTGTAGTAACACCCTTTACATACGAGCTTGGAGTTGTCGCTGCTGCTCTCTGAGATTCCTTGCAGTTTTCACTAGAACCTAAATAATTCCTACCAGCACTGTGTCTTCATTTCACTTTTCCCTCTTCCTGTATCTCGCTTTGGACAGATTACTTTTTTAATAGTTTAGTACTACACATGAAGCCTTTTTTCTTATTCCAGCACTAGGTGTTAAATCCTGACTCATACTCCTTTCCCAGTCTGATTATTGCCCTAACCCCCCTTCATGACCTAAGAAGGGCGACAGCATGGAGGACACCAGTCATGGACCACCAAGTGTGCCGGCCTTTCTGCAGCCTTTTGGTCAAAAATGGAATGCCTGACTTTGCTTCTCAGCCAGTCCTCTGCCTCTGGCATAGCCTTCTCACTGCCAAGTTCTAGTCGGGCTCAGCAGTGTATGTGGAAGCCTCCAAAGCAGACACACAGAGAGAGGAAATCAAAATTAAATTAATCCTCTCCAAGAGTAAATAAAGCATGGATGTGTTGCTCTTGAGCTTCCAGGGTAGAAATCGGAAAGACTTTGCTTGGGTTTCAGTGATTCTGGTGTTCAGACTGCTGATTCTTCAGCCCAGAAAAGCAGAGAGGCGGAGACCTCCAGAAATGGAGGCTCCTTACTGATGTCTATATATGTAAGGAAACGTGTCTCAGTAGTTGATATTTTGGACATCTTCTACCTGGTGCGTGCGAATTAGCAACAGCAACCAGCCGTTGTGTCTTGAGAGAAATCAGACTTAGCATATTGACGTCAAAGAACAAAAGTGGGTGTGGGTACAGCTCATTGGTAGAGCGTGTGCTTAGCATGCACGAGGTCCTCATTCAACCCCCAGTTACCTCCACTGAAAAAACGAAGAAACAGATAAACCTAATTATCTTTCCCCTTGAAAAAAAAAAAAGAGAACGAAAGGGCATTTGCATATGAGACAATTCCAGGCAGATACAGATGGCTGTGAACTTCTAGCTCCCGTGGTCATCCCCTGAGAGAACTGAGGTGGAGCTGGGTCCTCTCCTTGTCTTCAGACTCTGTGTTGCCGTGTACCTGAGTTCTCTTGTCTCCTCCCATTCTGCTGACCACCTGGAAAGGTTTTGACTAAGTGCTTGACTCTAGTTTTCTAACCACTATCTAACAGGCAGCTACAGAAAAAATACAGCCACCTACTAATCTGCTTGCAGAAGCTATTTTGGATGAACTTAATTGAAAATCTTGGTTATTTTTCTTCAGTTCTCACTGAGAGACAAGACCAGAGAAAACCCTCAATTTGTTGTTCTTTTCTTTTCAATTGAGGTATGATTGACACACATTATGTTAGTTTCCAGTGTACAACATAGTGATTTGATCATTTGGGAAATGATCAACACAGGAAGTCTAGTTAACATCCACCCCGTATATAGTTACAAAATGGTTTTTTTCTTGTGATGAATACTTAAGATTTATTCTCCTAGCAACTTTCAAATATGCAGTGTGATGTTATTAGCTATAGTCAATAGCTACACATTACATCCCCGTGACTGACTTATTTTATAACTGGAAGTTTGTACCTTTTGGCCCCCTTAAGCCATTTCACTCAGCCCTCACCTCTGGCAACCACCAACCTGTTCTCTGCATCTGTGAGCTTGGTTTTTTGTTTGTTTAGATTCTGCACTTAAACGAGATAGTACTTATTTGTGTGGTGTTTTTCTTTCTCTGTCTGACTTGTTTCACTTGGCATAATGCTTTCAGGGTCCATCCATGTTGTCACGAGATTTCATTCGTTTATGGCTGAGTGATATTCCATTGCATCTGTATGCCACATGTTCTTCATCCGTTCCGTCCATGCACGTTTAGGTTGCCTCTGTATCTTGGCTTTTGTAAATAAAGCTCAGTGAACACAGGGGTGCACATATCATCTCAAATGAGTGTTACTGTTTTCTTCGGCTAAATACCCAGAAGTGGGATTGCTGGGTCATATGGCACTTCTGTTTTTAATTTTTTGAGGAACCTCTGCACTGTTTCCATAGGGCTGCACCAGTTTGCACTCCTGCCAGCAGAGTACAGGGACTCCCTGTTCTCACATCCTTGCCAGCACTCGTTATCGCCTGTCTTCTTGGTAATAGCCGTTCTAACAGGTGCGAGGTGATAGCTCACTGTGGTTTTGGTTTACACTTTCCTGATGGTGAGTGATGTTGAGCACTGTTTCGTGTACCTGTTGGCCATCTGGATGTCTTCTTTGGAAATGTCTGTTCAGATCCTCTGCCCACTTTTTAATCAGATTGCTTTTTTACTGTTGAGTCAAATGAGTTCTTTATATATTTTGGATATTAACCCTTTATCAGATATAATGTGCAAATAATTTCTCTCATTTGGTTGGCTGCTTTTTCACTTTGTTGATGGTTTCTTTTGTGGTGCAGATAAATGAGGTCTTATATGATAGTCTCTTAAATTTAAAATCAAT